ATGCCACGATGTCTAACGCGCGTTGTCTTTCGTTGCACGTGGTTAACGCATTTTTTGACCAAGTCTTATTGAAGGTAAATTCTAAAAATGTTCGTAGTGGAGAAGAGATACACGGCTTATAAAAAGATCGCTCGAATGTCTGCTCATGACGTGTATTGGTATTTTGTTCAGTAGTCAAGCTATAAAATGCCGTATTGTAAAAATTGCTAATAAAAAACGTAAACCAAATCCAGCATATTAAAATTCCTCTGATATTTTTCTTCTTAAACAAAGTGCTACTTATGTTTCCGTAAAAATATCCCCACAGTTTTAGAATCAACAGTACCCGGTCTTTCAAGAATGTAGCTATAATATTGTAAGTGTAAAAAACAACTACAAATAGACAATAGAACGCTCCTATTATTATCCACGTTAACCAACTAAACTCCTTGTAAAGCAGTTTCCATTTGTTTACTGGTGTAGTGGGTACAAAAATGTTGAGACTTTCGAAGGTATGGCCCCATACATAGTCGAATCTTTTTGCGCGGTTTAAAATAAGTATGAAGCCTCCAATCACAATTTCTGCATCTTTAGTAGGAAGATATTTTAAAATACCAGTTACTGTGCCATTACTTAAAACCACACCATTCGCTTCATGTTTGGGTACTTGGATGTAATCAATAAGGTAACCTTTGTTAGCTGCTATATTCTCTAAAATATATTCTTCTACTCCGGGTAAACGTTTGCCTCTAAGCGTATAATTGCTGGATTCTAATATAACATGTGGTATATCTTCATACCTTGCAACTTTTATGGTACATTTGTTGAATTTATTCGGAATTTTATTTGAGAAAATATTGAATACACTTACGTTATCGTTGCAAAGACCCAGAGACTCTACGGTATCGTAATCACCACCACAATTTCCGTATTTAAAAGGGTAATACGTGTAAATTTCTTTATCATTATTTCGGGAATTGTCCACGAATACAGCGCTAAATACATTATGCTTTAACAGTACTTTAGCGACTTCCTTACCTCTTCGAATATTTGGTATTTCAATTATATATTTTGCATTTGTGTCCCACAGTAAGTCGTCTTTAAGATCGATAATTCCACCCCCGAAATCAAAAATATCCTGCATTAATATTACAACGTGTTCATTCCATACAAATTTCTCTCGTGAATAGAATGATTTTGTAACTATATTATAGCACTCGTCATAATTGATAGCTTCTAACAGGTAGTCAACGTTTTCTTGGGTAATTACCGTAATCAGGCTACCGCAGTGAATGTTGTTTCTTATAATTTCTATTATACATTTTTCGGATTTAATATCGCCTTCTGCATCTGTGGGAAGGAAATTTGAATATATTTCACTATAAACAAATTTGTTAAATAGACACACGTAAAGCACAAAAAGAAAATTGAAAGACATTTTTAATACACTCGCTCAATAGTGTATAAAGTCCAATCTTTAAACTGTGCGGAGTGTAGGACTTGCACATTTGAAAGGAAATTGTAGACAACTAATGACGACTATGATAGATTATGCTTAGACTTCAGACCCCGTAAACACAGTGTAGCTATCGTTTAAAAGTTGATTTACGAACTGTTTTCTCCACACATCAAGTTAGATATTCATCGGTTTCACTCGAGACTCCAGATTACTGCTTTTAATATGTATGAAATTGCTGTAAATATGTTTTTAAACATTGTATCTATACATATACTTGGCATATTATTAATGGGTTTGTACTTGATATATCGTCGGTGTTTGTAGAAAGGAAGAAAGCAACATTTTGTAGATTTATTCAGGGCAGCGTGCTTTAGGTTTCAATGAAAACCAAAATATCATCTATGTATAATACAATTATAATTTAAATATATATTTTTTCTTTGTTACACTATGAAACTCCAAATGCTTTCCTAGAACGGTTACGTGTTAAAGTCAATTTATCTTATTAAAATCCAATAATGGGCTACACAATAACGCACGTTTGTAGTAATGGCTTTTGCAATGTGGTTGATGTTGTCTGTACTTTAATTTGTGTACCAGCTACTTACATTGTATATTCTTACCTGCTACCTTTTGTATATCACCAACCTCACCAAATTAGTTCTCCTCAAAATAAGTGTTGAACGTCTGCCTTTTTATATTACGACGATAAAGCACTAAACTTTAGCTTTTGTAATTTAGTAAGGCGCTTCTTCATAAAATGTTCAATATAATGTGTAAAGGTAGGTCAATGTGTATGTATATTTTTTAAACCAATGTAGATAAGAGGCTTATGCCTTTAATTCGTGAAAGTAGCAAATAGGTAGCAATTATTGGTAACACATACATGCTGAACAAAGTGGTCACCAGCCGTGCTGATATCAAAATGGTTGGCCAATTCTTTTTTAATTTTCTCAGCGTATATCATAGGTAGCAATTATTTAGGAAGGGTAGCAAATAGGTAGCAATTCTTGCACACACAATCTGAAATAGTGTCTGAAGTATGTAAGAAGTTGAGACCTGTTCCAGCACAGTATCCGGTATTTAATGTTCTTTAACATGTAATATATGTATATACTTGTGTGCTCATCGAAATAATAAGTTATTTTAAGCATATTCTACGAATTTAAAATGTAATTCTTGTGAAGTTTGACAATTGTCAGCAGCGGATGTCCATCTACGAAGGTGGAACCTGAAAAGCAACATGTAGTGCTGAGGTTTCATCCTTTTCATTAGCACTAGAGTCCACATTTCCGAAACTCTTAACTGTTAACCTTTTTATTGTAAATGTGCTTGTGAATAAATGTCTTATTATTAAATAAATCCTTTAATTTAATTTAATTTCATATTTAACTACCCCGGTGGCCGAACAGTTACCGTGCTGGTCGGCCACCTAGAAGGTCCCGTAGTCGGTTCCCGGGCCAGGAGCAATATTTGTATGATCTAAATTCATTTCTCTTGTGAGTTTCGGTGCAATCTGTAGTTGACTATGTGTGTTTCCATGGCACCCCCTACACAGGATTTCCCTCGTGCGAGGCTATGAGATAATAAAAAACAAAAAAAAATAATAATAATGCTATAAAAAATTAATAACGCACACAGCGTTATTAACTATTTTAATTCAAGAAATATTATTATGCACTCTTGCATTTTTCAATGCTTATTGGATTGAAACTTTTAACTCGTTTTCTGTAATTTTTACTGTTTCACATATTTCATTTATATATTCATATGCGTATATGTGACCTGAATAGCGAGTTTTCGCATTATGATAATGAGTTTTGTGTAAAGAGATGTGTATGTTATCACTTTCAGATGAGAGTGATAGTCGGGCATGATCGCTAGGGTTACCTCTAAAAATACTTCGTCTGCAGTTTTATATATTATCTTTATCTACACACATATCATAAACCCTCTATGATGAGTTAAAAAACCGCAACTTACGACCAGCTTAAAGATAAACTGTTTTGTTAGAACAAATTTCTTATCTGTGAAAAAGTTATTATTGCTTCATGTTGTCATCAAATTCGATTTTAACGGCCAATAGCAAACAATTTTGACAAATCTCATACGTTACTTGATATGATAGTTGGGGTTCCATCCTCTAAGGTTGGGGCCGACTCTAGTTTGTCTATGAATAAAAAAAACTATGGTTGCGTGACATGCTTGAGAAATAAGTTTTTTTGCTTTGTTTTACTATTAATTAGGGTAGACTGGGCACAGTTGTAACATTTTTGCTTTGATCGTCCATAACATTTTTATTTTTATGAATAATTGCAAACGAAAGGTAGGAAAATAAAAAGTAAACATTTGCCTACAAATTGATGTAAAATTCAGGCGCTCATGTACAATAGTTTTTGATTAAAAGTAGCTTTCTCAATAACGGTGCTAACGTTACAACTGACCCCATACCTGCGTCGTTGTAACAGCTGTAGGGGTCAGTTGTAACACACGGTAATGAAAGACAAATACTTTTCAAAATATTTTACTTATATTAAACAAATGTTTATGCTCTATTAAATGTATGACTAAGCAGTCTCATTATAATCAGTCTATCTCGTTATATTAGTCTTCACAATCATGTCCAAATTACCTTATTCTTAACAAAAATACAGGCTCACAAAAATTAACTCAGTTAAAGGACCTAACTTAAAAACAGCAGTTATAAAATTATATTAAATAACTAATAAAGCTTAGATATTCAAACAAATAAAGCACCTCTGCTCGGAAAACAAGTGTATTTTACGAAAATAAATGAACTATGACACTCGCTCTTACTATCACTAATCTAGTCAGACTTAAACAAAATAACAAATTTAAAAAAAAAAAACAAATAGAGCACCACAGTTTTTGAAAATGTAGTTTCATTCACAAAAATAAATTAATATTAAAACTCGCTCTTACTATGACTAATTTAGTCACATTCATTGCAATTATGGCATATGTAATATCGACCACCATCTGTACAATCTAAATGAGACAAGAGTCTACATTCGCCCTGACACTGCACCCATTTTTCACCCGGCCTACTATCCCTATACCATTCTAAACACACCAGGCAGTAAATATCGTAATTATCGTCTGATGATTCTGACGGCGTGTTTACTTTCTTCTTCTTTGCTTTGCCCTTTCCCTTTTATTTTCTTCCTTTCGGTTCTTCAAGTACTTTTTTCTTGGTCTGCTTAGCTTAAAGTCGCATCTGTCTAATTTCAAATTCTTCTCTGATAGCTTCTTTTTCAGGTGTATCAGTATAAATGGCAGATGTTTTTGTTCTACGCCTAGTTTGCATTTTTCTGTGACAAGCTTTTGGATAAACACGCACCAGTTCCGGCAAAAACACAGATGACGAACTTGTAGAAGGACGGTTTAACGCTTTATTGTCCAGAATATTGGTTGCCTCTGTTTGCTGGTAATTTAATCTGGGTGGCATCGTTAATGCACTGTGGAATTCCACGTTTGATGTGGGCTCTGATGGGATAGCTGCTGGTTCACTATTTCAATTTCGGAAGCAACATTCGATGAATCAGTTGGAATAGTCTCTAAGACAAGAACGTGAAAGAGGTGACGTTTCATTGTCAGCTTCAGGTATAGCCTGAAGAGCATGAACAGGAGATAACTCCGGTGTGCGCTGCCTTGCAATATGAGAAGATGGCTCAGAATTATGGTGAATGTCAAGCTGAGGAGCTGGCTCCGGTGCAAACTCAGTTGCTGTTGCAGGTGCACCTGGATGCGGCCTATCCGTCATAAATGATGGGGCAAAATCAATCTCTTGGAATAGTTCCAATTGAACGGATAGATTCTCGTCTTGCGAAATCCAGCCTGAATATTTGTTTGAGTTAAGGCAAGTGGCATAGCTGTTTTTACAATTCCCGGTATGTCATGTATTGTCATAGTTTTTCCTGGATGATTGCGCATCCACGCGTCACAGGTAGTATTTATTGCTTTTTTCAAAGGTCTGTATACAGACCGATCTAATGGCTGAAGTTTGTGTGAGCAATGAGGTGGGAAATATTATATATAGTACGATACCATTTTGTTTGCAGAAATCCAGTACGTTGATGTGTATATGTGAAGAATGATTACCCATAACAAGTAAAATTTTGTGTGATTGAGAAGCATTAGTGTATTTTTGGAAATGTTTAAGAAAAATAATAAAAGTTTCATCCCGCATCCAACCAGACGGGTTTCCTGCGCCCATTGACCCCATTGGCCTATCTCTTAGAAAATGATCGTGATATCGAAATCGACGTAATGCAAACATTGGAGGTATCGGATTTCCCGAGGCATTTGCTGCAAAAGCCAGCGTAACTAAAGTGCCTTGTTCAGCTGAAGTAAGGGCACCCACTTGCCGAGCTCCACGCCTTGGAACCACCCTGTCCAGTTTCTGTACGGTTGTCACCCCTGTCTTGTCAACATTATATATATCTTGTGGTTCAAAGTGATGTCGATCCATCACAGTTTCAAGATTATTGTAAAAAGCGTCTACATTTGTCCTATTGAAACTAGTCGCTCTCGACATGCTGGTTGCATGTCTGGTATGATAATTCTGGATTCCGATTCATAAATGAACGGAACCACTCTACTCTAGCCATCTCGTTTTCTACCCAACTTGGAGGCCTGTTTAAGTTGTATTTTGTAGTAAGCTCGTATGCTAATTTTCTAAACTCTTTACTGGATAAACCATAATAAATATCGGCATAACGTATTAAATATTTACCAAGGCTCCGTTCTTGATCCTCATTGAAGACTTTGTTACGAGCCCGATATCCCATGCGAACATCTTCATTCTCCCCCGTTGCGTCTCGTTTCCTTACGTAACGCAGTAAAGACACAATTAATTCTATATGTGTTAGCAGTTCTTCTTAATGAAATGCCTGCTTTCACATCTTCAAATGCATTTTGGTATGTGTTAAGGTCACTTTGACCTCTCGAGGTAGTTCTTGTGCGTTTTCTGGGCATTTGCGATGTAAAATCGAAACAAAACCACTGTTACAACCGACTCCACAAAATTTGGTACAACTGTACCCACATTTTCACGAATTAAATATTTCTAGTAAAGTTTTTATTCGTTTCATTCAAAATTGAATTGCTGTATATAAAACTATGAACCAATAATTATGTGAATATAACTTTTAGAATACATAGTTCTATATTAGTATATATTGCGATAGGTTACCATCTCTTAGATTATTAGGTACTTTGATTGCAACCAGTATATAACCATAGCTAGTATATTCTTCCTTAGAAAGCAATACTTACTTTTCAATCATTTCAGTAGCAGGAGAGCTCCTTATGAAAGAGTTCGTACTCCAGGGTAGTACTGCCACCTTACCTGTTTCTGCCGCCAAGCAGTAATGTCAGTTACTTTGTTCCGGTTTTGACGGGTAAGGGTGCTGGTAAAATTACAGGCACATGGGACTTGCCAACTTAGGCTTGATTCATATCACCGAGGCGGCGCCGAGTTACATTATAGCGTGGCGTGCAACGTTAACTTTATCCTCTACAAAATAAGGCAACATTCCATTTAACAAGAAAATGGAAACGGACTGCTGCAAGTGGCGATGGGCTGCAGCGAGCTGCGATAGGTGCACTTTAGAAAATGCAATATGCTATAGAACATATTCCCTATTAAATAAAGTACACAACCATTTCTTCAAACAACAAAAAACAAAAGAGTAAAGCCGCGCAGCGTCGCGCCCGTCCGACGCCGCCCACTTGTCTCGCCTCGGACAATACAAAGAGTAACTTCAACAATAACGTATATTTCTTTGAAAGGCAGCTATCAGCTGATCAAGGGTGGTCGTGTTTATGCAATTTGTAGATTTTATATCAATTAATATAATAGTCCAAATAAGATGATGTCGGTGGCTCAACGGTGTGCACTGTCGGCACAGCATGAGAAGGTTCCGGGTTCGATTCTCGGTGGAACCAATTTGGGAATTAAACTTTTCTGAAGTGTTTTTGACTTAGGTGTTCTGGGTAGTGACGCGGAGCGAACTTCGTAGCTCTTGGTTCTGGGTTCGATTCCCGGTAGAACCAATTCAGGAAATGAACTTTTCTGAAGTTTCCTGGTAATGCCCATGTTTGGATTCCGTTGTTCTGGTACTTATAAGGCGTACAGAGAGTTCCCTTGTTTGAGACCAGCATGCGTAGCATGAGAGTATATCGCATACAATATGTGATAAGCCTCCCTCTGATATATATAAAGCAGTTGATAAAGCGGTTTATTTCCAGCAGTTCCATGTACTCAGTTCCACATGGAATAGTTGAAACCCAAATGTTCCAAAAGCTATGTTGTCATTATTATTTATGTATATTTAACTACCTTTAAAGTAATAATATTATTCCCGTACATCAATCAGGCTTTCGTGGAAAGCACAGTACCACTTCTGCCTTACTTCATGTAGTGGACGAAATTCTTACAGCCTCGAACAATAATCTAGCTACTATTTTAGTTTTATTAGATTATAGTCGCGCTTTCGACTGTCTCGTGAGGAGTAACCTTGTTTACAAGCTCAGACGATATGGGTGTACGGATCTTGTGTGTTCGTGGTTCAATAGTTATTTTAGCGATAGAACTCAAACCGTAGAATGTGTCGGCCGTGGTGGAACAGTGGTAAAATCAGCAACTCTACCAGTGCCGCGTGGTGTAGTCCAAGGATCCATATTAGGACCGACTCTATACACCATCTACACAAGTGATTTACTTAACCGCATACAGTCAAGTAGCGCACACATGTATGCGGATGATACACAAATCCTGATACACGCTGAGCCACAGAGAGATAAAATACTCTCAGCAATTCGGGCGCTTAATAATGACTTGAGTTCAGTACTTGATTGGTCCAATAAAAACGGCCTCCTATTAAACGCGCAAAAATGTTCTTTTTCGATATTGGGCACAAAAAATCAGATTAAGTGTGTTGATGGTGTAGATCCTTCCATCATGATTGATAAACAGAGAATATCTAAATCATTACTACCTAGGAACCTTGGCATGTTGTTTGACAGCTTTCTGAACTTTGACAAATATGTGGATTCTAAAGTACCTAAATGTTATGCTGCACTTAAACAGCTATATAAGATAAGACCCTATTTGAGTATGGATGTGAGGCGTAGGCTGACGGATGCTCTTGTTTTATCAATCGTCGATTATTGTGATGTCGTGTATGGTCCCTGTTGACAGAAAAAGTCAATGAATAAAATTCAAAGAGTCCAAAACTCATGTATTAGGTTTTGCTATACAGTTCCGCCTAGGTCGCACATTACCCCTTATCTTAATACTTATAACATTTTGAACATGACGAATAGGCGAATGTTGAAGCTGGGCAAACTTGTCTTTTCTTTGAGGAGTAACCCGACGCCCCCGTATTTGGCAGATAAACTAGTTTGGAATGATAGGACGGGGGGGCAGCACCCGTACGATACGCTACCCGAGTCTTAAATTATCACCAACTCCTAGATTGCACTCGTTTAGAGGCAGTTTCCGCTTTGCCGCTTCTAAATGTTGGAACGATCTTCCACCGCCAATTAAAACATGCAAGTCATCCTATACTTTCAAATATATGTATAAAGAATGGCTGCTGAAACAACAGAAGACTTCGTGCTGTTGGTTGGAGGTGAATTAGGTTCTGGTATGTTAGCATAAATAACAAGTAAATATAATATATAATTATAATCAATAATGTTCAATTAAATTTCATTCTTAGTTTATCCTATTCTATATATAAGTAGTGAGTATAATGCTTTTTATACCTATTTTGCTATATGGTCATTGCGTGTATCATTTGATTCATAATTTAAGATTTTTACTCAATTTCTTTGTTGTTTTATAGTAGTTGTATAATTTCGGTGAGTGAGGTGCCTTCTGAAATATATATTTAATTATAAATTGCATACTGCGGTGTCTGCAGCAACTAATTTATTTAAATTTCTACGTCAAAATTTTTTATCACCAGGTAAAGCCTGAAAACCAGCATCTTGCTGAGGCTGTAACCTTTTCTTCATTACAGACCTTTTAAGTTATTATTTTAAGTGTTTATGTATTGTTTCCTGTGTTGAAGAATAAAGTCCCTTTTATTTTTATTTTATTTTATTTTATTAAAATTTTATTTTTTTATTGTAAGTCGGTAAGATACCGCAATAACGCCATTCGTTCTTTAGTTTACTTGATAATGAACGCTTGTTATACATTTTGCAGAACAGGGATAGCGATTTGAAATTGCATAGCTAACTAAGTCATTTAATCATCGAAAATTATAATCCTTTTAATTGCATCGTTGTAAAACGACGAAACAAAAAATCGTTCATTATCAAATAAACAAAAGAACAAATGATACTAGTGCGGTATCTTTCTATAGTATATTGCATTTTATGAAGTGCGCCCGCCACACCTCTCTGCAGCACGTCGCCCCTTGAAGCAGCTTCGTTTTCATGTGTTTGTTTAATGAAATGTTGCCATATTTTGTTGAGGATAAAGTTTATGTTGTATTGTTCGCTTGAATGCAATGCGATGTGAATCAACGCTTATGTCTCTGGGTGACGGGTGCAGTGACAGAGCGCCTTATATCTATGCGATTTAAATCTCTGAGTGGCACTGCAACTGTTATGGATAGGCGTGTTGCTTACCATCAGGCGCACGACTTGTTTGTAGCCTGTCACTTAATATCTATTATTAAAAAAATGTTTTGAAGTTACAGCCCTAGGGTTCCGATTGCGCTCACACTCTACTTTAATAAACCACCTGCTTATATCTACGCGAGATCCGCCAGTGCGATATAAACCATCGAGGCTTCCGTCAATGTCGCTACTAAATCTTGACTTTATTGTAATATATTAGATATTATTACAATGAAACGATAAATGTAATAGATAATTATTATATTATTTATCTTTAATGGTTATATAGAAGCTTGCCAAAGCCACAAGCCAAATTTCTTATTAATATTATACAATTTTTATATATAAAATAAACCGACCTCGAAAGTTCGTGGAATTACATGTATTAGCCAAGTTTGATTCGGTTACCGGAAAGTACGCGAAACCGGATTCATCAACCACTTTGCGACCCTTAAAGGTAAAATATTTTCTTCAAATTTTAATGGGATCAATACTGAGGTACCCTCTTTCTAACAAAAAAAGAATCTTTAAAATCGGTTCATAAAGTAAGAAAGTAAATAAAAAGTAAGTTCAGAGTAATAATTTAACATACATACAACAAAAAAATACAGTTAAATTGAAAACCTCCTCTTTTTGATGTCGGCTAAAAATACAAATTATGTAATTATTGTCATGCCCTACTGGGCTCGTAGATGTTTTAAAACGATTGCAACATCCATTCTACTTATGCAGAGCAATAAAATGATAGAGTATTGACTATCAACGAAATTTTTTTTAGGTAAGTAAAAAAAATCGGCAAAGTAGATGGTGTGTTTAGTTGTATACCATGCCTCAGAGGGTTATTGTACTCATAATGTCAAACATTTGCAATTAAATTTTATTTTCTCATATTATTTTTATTGTATATTTTTTATTGCCCCAAATAAATATAACAGAAATAGTAGATTAACAGAAAGGTGGACTTATCTCTAAAAGAGATCTCTTCCAGCCAACCCAGGATAGTGAAAGCTAAGGTTATGAGCGGGCAATAGCGTGCAAGAGAGAGTGCGGAAGAAACATAATAAAGTAGTTAAATAAAAAATTAAAAAAATACCATTACCTACATAAATATTAAAATGAATCATAATAAATAGCACCAATATGTAAATAATGTAATATATAAACATAGGTACACATATACATATATACATAAATAAGTATGTAATAAAAATAGAATAAGATGATTACTAAGAGCGTTCAGCAAGTGCGCTTTCAACCTTTTCTAGAAAGAAGCGACAGACGGGCTAGACTGGATATAGGAAGGCAGTCTGTTCCACAACTGCGTTGCATGAGAAGAAAAGGGGTTAAAAAGAAATTTGTTTTACAGTTAGGACGATCGAGCATCTTAGTGCCCCACAGACGCCTTGAACGGGTGGGAGGGGGTAGCAACTGGAACCGGGACCGAAGGTAGGAAGGGGAGTTGGCGTCATGAAGTATACTAAAAAGGGTGGACAGGATATGCAAATCACGGCCAAGGCGAAGTGTGAGCCATTTTAACCAAACGCGAAATTCGAAAACACAGTTAAACTTACAGAGACCGAAAATAAATCGGAAAGCCAAAGCGCTTTAGTTTATTCTTAAGCTCACACACATCTAAATAACAAACGTCAAAATAGTCGAGTATGAGGAGTAGAAGAGTTTGTGCAAGCATAATTTTGGTATGAAAAGGGAGAAAGTATTGGAGTCGTTTGAGAGAGTGAAATGAGACGTGTATTCGTCTGCTAACCTGACGTGAGAAGTCCAAGACAATGTGCAGTCCATTACTAGCCCTAGATTTTTTTTTTGTCAGTATATGCAATGGGTGTTCCATCATGTACCAAAGTAGGTACCGATGATCAATCCAACTTGCACTTTAATCTGCTACTGCCTACAATTATGGCTTGAAACTTAACGGGATTAACTAAAAGGCTAAATGATTTAGCCCATGACTGTATGGCAGACAAATCAAAATAGATGGCCGCATTAGTTTCAGATACCTCGCCCACCTCAAAGTTATGATAGAGTTGAAGATCGTCAGCATATAGATGGAAGGGAGAGAAAATGACACGGGAAATATTATTGATGAAAATGGAAAAAGTAAGGGAGAGAGTAAGCCGCCTTGAGGCACACCAGCAGTTAAGTTAGACCAAGATGACGAGTCATCATTGATTTTGCGCACTGCTGGCCAACGGAAAAGTTAAGAAGAGAACTAACTTAAAACAGAAGAGGTGATATTAACCGCCTGAAGAGCACCAAGGAGAAAGCCAAAGTCAACAGAGTTAAATGATTTGCTGAAATCCAAGAGGGTAATGACAGTGACCCTCGTATCATCCATAGCACGACGTATGTCTTCCGTAGTGTTCAGTAATGCTCCAACAGTGCTATGAGATGGACGAAAGTCAGAACAAAACGGACATAAAAGGTTATGGAAGGTGAAGTAAGAATTCTTCGAAGAAGTAAAGATTCTAGGGCTTTAGAAAGAATATGGAGATTGAAAACATGGCGGTATTGTGAGAAGAAGTAGGATTCAGAATTTTAGGGAGAGGTATGACAAAAGCCTTTTTCCATTGTGTTGGAAAGACATTGCGTGAGAGAGAAATATTTATAATATGAGTGATTATCGACGCAATGTCCTCCAGCACCCAGCACGGGAAGAATCATATCGAGACTCAAATTGTCGTTTATTTTTAAAGAAATTTAAATAGTTATATGATGATTTTTAAAAGAATATTTAAATAAGTGAATATCACTAATTACTTGGTTTCTTACCACGATATGGTTTCTTTTTATTTTCCCGATATTTCGGAACGGTTACACACTTCATGTTCACGGGTTGACCAGTCAACGCTCTACATGGTCACGGGTTGATCAGTCGACGCGCTACATGGTCACGGATTGATGAATCAACCCATGGCCATGGAGCGAGTTCGGTCCGAAATATCGGGAAAATAAGAAGAAATAGTATCGTGGTAAGAAACCTGTAATTAATTAGTGATACTCATTTAGTGAATTATCACGAAAGCTTAAAAATCTATATTTAAATATGTATTTACGTATTTATATACTTACCTTAGTTTATTCATTAAACTTCCAAACCCGTTCAGGTTTCTTTAGAATTAACCTAACACAGGTTTCTGTAGGTTTATTTTTTCTTTACGAATGTTACTCCAGCAATACGAAGACATCGATTTCTTCCTAGACATAGATTTATATGAAAAGTATTTGAGACCTTACAATTTTATAAAATCACCAAACACACTACCAGTGTTGAAGTGTACAGATATAAAAGACCGCGAGTCTAGTGACTGCGTTAAGCATTTCCGCTAAATGCAAGTCGTAACTCAGTGTCGCATAATGAGATGCATGCAGACGAACGTTTTCCGGTTTGCTTTTCGGATAATTGATTGCTCAACAGCTTCCTGTAAAACCGCATTTGAATATGTAGGAATTATGTATCTGCGGCGACGTGCTTATCATTAATCTTTTTTAAAGTTCGCGAATGTACATACAAACGAATTCGTTCTTATAAAATTATTTGAATAACATAACTGCTACGTATTTATATTGGAGTTTCCATATAGTAAATACTTCAACTTACTAATTACTTTTATTGAATGTTACGATGTTTTACTACCACGATATTGAATACATCTTTTGCTCTGCTTTACTTTGCTCTGATCCCAAAGTAACAGTTAAAGCACTTGTGTTATGGAAACCGAAAATAACGACAGTACCACAAACACCCAGACCCGAGACAATGTAGAAAAGTTGATTTGACTGACCCGCCCGAGGAAAGCACCCGAAACCTCTGAGATGACCACCTTGAAAACTAGTAAGCAAGCCACTCAACCAAAAACTCTAAAATTATTGTAAGGCTTAATTTATATTGCGGCGGAACGGAATGGAAGCGAGGAAGGAATTCTCGCGCATGCTCGAGAATGCTCGCGCATACCGCGGAAGGCTTGGCTCGTATCTAGTTTGTACAGCACCAAGAGCACGCCAAGCTCGACACTTAAGATTTAATTCCAACTCTATGCCGCTTACGGTAAGAACAGTCCAAAGTACAAAGTGTCAAGCTTGACGTGCTCTTGACTGTATGTTACACAATTGATCATAAAGTTCATTACCCTTTAAGCTATGTACAGCATCGTTACAAAAATTCGCTACCATTCCGTTCGGCCCCAATATAAATTGAGCTTTAATGTAGATTCTTATATAATAAAACTATTTCGACAAGTGGTAAGTGTTTATTATACTTGATAAAGTTTTTATTTAGAACAAACTGATATAGCTTTACAGACTATAATATATAACTTTATTGCACCAATTAATTAAGTAAAACACAAATCAAGTATTATGAGCGTTAAATGTGCTAGAAGCGTATATTTATTTAATAAGTAGTAATTGTCATAAGTGCTTCTTAACGTATTTTCCACTAACGTTTCTCATTCTGTTCACGTCTGTCTATTAAAGCAATTGCCTTCAATATTAAATCACGTTTCTGGCACAATACTTCTAGAATAAAAGCTATTAACGCTATCAGTAATCCACAAAAAAGCAAGACAAAATCTGCTCTGATACTGTACATGTCCAGGTTTTTGTTCGCCTTTTGTTTCGTATGTACAGCCTTTACAGTCCTTAAATGGATGACTTGTTGATGCGCTTCAATTAAACCTGTTTCTAGCATATTTTGCGTCGCGTATTGAATCGTATCTTTCAGAGGGAATCCTCTAGCTGTGAACATGACTTTTACAATAGTCGCCTTTGAAAACTCCCAAGTATCGAGCATACGATTTCCTCTCTCATTTATATAGTTTTGTTCATTCATTGTATACACGTGAGTCCATTCAATGGTGAACAGGTCATTTCGGGATGCCACGGTTTGTAACGCGTTTTTTCTCTTGTTGCATAAGGTTAATGCATTTTTTGGCCAGGTCAAGTCATAGGTGTATTTGAACAGTGTACGTACTTGATTAGAGATACACGGTTTATATTTAGACCCGTCGAATTTCTCATTGACAACCTGCTGAATGTGGCTCTTGTGTGCAGTAGTCAAGCTGTAAAATGCCGTATAGTAGAAATTGCTAACAAAAAATGTAAACCATATCCAATACACTAAAATTCCTCGGATTTTTTTCTTTTTATACATAGAGTCACTGGTGTTTCCATAAAAATATCCCCACAGTCTTAAAATCAACAATACCCTGTCTGTTAAAACTGTAGCTGTAATATTATAAATATTTAAAACTGCTATAAAAATACAATAAAACGCTCCGATTAATAGCCACGTTAACCAACCAAACTCTTTATAAAACAATTTCCAGTTATTTTCTGGTTTTGCGGCTGTAAAGATATTGAAACCTTCGGAATAATATCCCCAAATATAGTCGAAAACTCTTGCGCGGTTCGTAATTAATACGTACCCTCCAATTGCAATGTCTGCTTCCTCAGCAGCGAGATATTTCAAAACACCAGTGACTGTACCATTAGCTAAAACTACACCATGCTCTGTATCAGGGCCTGTTTGGATATAGTCTATAATATAGCCTTTGTTTGCTCCAATACTCTCTAAGATATATTCTTCTATTCCAGGTAAACGATTGCCTCTAAGCGTATAATTGCTGGACTCTAATATGACATGTGGTATATCTTCGTGTCTTGCAACTCTTATGATGCATTTATTGAATTCACCAGGAAATGTATTTGGAAACATATTTAACACACTTACATTGTCTTTGCAAAGACCCAAAGTTACTACAGTATCGTGATCACCGGCACAATTTCCATATTTAAAAGGGTGATACGTATAAATTCTTCTATCACTTTTTTGGGAATTATCTACAAACACAGCGCTATATATGTAATGTTTTAACAATATCTTGGCGATGTCCTGAGTTTTTCGAATATTTGGTATTTCAATGATATATTTTGCATTTGTGTTCCACATTAAGTCGTTGGTAAAATCGTTAATTCCACTTTCGAATTCGAAAATATCTTTCGCCAGTACTACAACGTATTCGTTTCTTACTAACCATTCTTGTGAATAGAAATTTCTTGTAATTACACTATAGCACTCGTCATTACTGATAGTTTCTAACAGAGAGTTAACGTTTTTCTCAGTGACTACCGTAATAAAGTTACCGCAGCGAATGTTGTTTTTTATAATTTTTATTATACAGTTTTCGGATATTTTATCTTCATCTTCATCTATGCTAAAGAAGTTTGAATATTTTACACAATGTACAAAGTTCAAAAATAGATTCACGTAAAGCACAAGATAATTCTTCATATACATTATTAAAACTCCTTACTCAATACTTAGCAATTGATGATAACGAGTTTTGTAATTGAACATTGAAATTGATAGACGCTCAGATTTCAATCTATGTAAATTCGGTAAAGCTGTTGTATCTGTGAGTTGTGTTCCCAACACTTAGATATTAATTTGTGTACTCAAGACTCAATTTCACTGCTTTTGTTTTTGTGTACCAATTGAAAAAAACTTAATTCTTGTGTTATTGTTTCCATATTGTCAAGGTTTTAGTACGAGTATAATTGAAACAAATCTTTGTTATAGTTCTTATCCTGAGTAAAAAGGCTTTCTCAATCTTCTTGATTATTTATCGTTTTATATGTCAATCAACTTCCTTTAAACTTCCTTCCTTTGGTGAAGACGCAAATTCGTAATGGTGTAAAATCAATATTGCAAAAAAATTTCAAGAAGTAGACACTAAAGAAAAGCTTATTGCATTCTTCCGCATTTGCTTGATATCTTCGTAGATCACAGCTTCGATTGGTAAACAGAAGGTGATTGAAGACTCTCATTCCACAAATTTGAAGAATAGACACCAAAGAAAAGCTTATTGCATTCTTCGAACTTCCTTGATAATATCTTCGTGTACCATAGCTTCGACTGGTAACCAAAAGCTAATTGAAGACTCTTTGCCGTCACCCCTGCAAAATTCCGATTAATATGATACTATACGGATGTACACTATATTATATTCGTAGCATAGATTTATTGGTAGTATCTAATGTGGAGTGTATCGTTTTGAGAGTGTTCTATTTTTTCTCTCGTTTGGAATATTGATTTTTTTTAAATTAATCAATGTATAGACAAGAACATTCACAGTAACTACATGTTCCAAACAAAACACTGTCAATAGCTATAGTGTTTTGTTTTAGTGTTGAATTTTGTCAAAGAGTATCAGTACCGTAGTACCGTGGACGGACGTGACAGTCTATACATTTTGGGAATGAGCTAGACAGACAGATAATATTGAGTGTTTACCAATGATATTTATCCACAGTTGCTTTTGCTTACTATTTATAATTATATTACTAAAAAGAAAAACAAATTATGTAAAAGAAAAAGAATACAGTCGAGTTGTTGAAATCATTGATGTTACAATACTTTTCCTTGCAAAAAGGTATAGATCTTCAGATCATACGGCCTTGTCAAGTAGGTACCTACATAGATAGCGTTGAGCCTAGTCTTTTTTAAATTTATGTGATGGCCTTAGTACCATCATAATCATATTATACATACTCTGTTATTGTGTAGTCAGAACACAACACTTTCTTGCTTATTAATTATGATTTTATGTTTTGTCTTGTTTTTACACGCGTCATTACATGCTTGCAAAACGAGATGGATAGTGTGACATTTTGTATACTATTTCACGATTATCAAATATTATAATGCACAAATTTATCAAAAAACCATAGCATTACTTACCTAATCAATGTGAATAATTTAAAACTGTAAATTTGTGTTCACACAATTAGTCAATTGGCGAAATGTGAGCAATACACCGATGTAAATGAATTTGCAAAGAGGACCGCATTTGCGTCCGCCATTCTGAATGTTTGACAACCGACTAAATTATGTGCAGCCTCTTCACCAGACATCAGTAAAACGCAGCGTGTATATGGAACGCCGCATCACGTACACTAGTACATAGATATCGTTGGAATTAATTGAATATTGTGTTTATGAGGGTATCATATTATTATTTTTTATAGCTAGCCTGGTGATACACAATATTGTTTGTTACGTTTCACGCTTGTGTTTTGCCTAGAATAAGTATAGGTGTAAAAGTGAACAGAAAAAATATACATACATAGGTAATAATAGATTACTAACAGTAATGGACAATTGTAGTAATTGTTTTTTGCAATATTAATGACTTTTGTGTCTATTTTGTTTTACAACTTGATTTTCACCTGTCCTTCCTTGTTATATTTACTAAAAGTGTATTTGAAAAGCTAATTTAAGTACTTGTGATTAAAATACTTCATGTAAGAAATTATTAAAAATAATTCTAAGAATATTCTCAATATGTATATATATATATATATATATATAATATACATATATACATATTGAGAGTATTCTTAGAATTATTTTTAGCTTACTACTAAATTATGTATTGTTGTTAATAGTTATTTGTTGTTTTGGTGTTTTCCTATCTTTTGTGAGGAATAATAGCTGTCTTCCTTTTTTTTATTTATGTTCAAAGAAATAAATAAAAGAAATGGTGGACTTTTGAAGTTACAAGTACAGTTTTTACAAATATTATTTTTATTTTAAGTATATTATGAAGAAAATACAACGAAAGAAGTATTGATGAAAAAAGTTACAATATAGTCCTTATTTTAAACCAAACTACAAAAGATCTTATCCTGAAAATTCCACTAATTACGAATTCAAAGTTTTTGTTCAAAGTGACAATAGTGACAATGATGTGATTTAAGTAAAAGTGAAAACATAAATATTGACTCCCGCAGCTTTTAACACTATTTAGAAAACCCAAACAAGAGAACTAAGTTATTTAAGAGTAATTGAAAACATAATGTATACTAGAACTACAATCGAAAATATTTATTGAGGATCCCGATAATTAAACCAAGACATGGCTTAAAGTACTTGTCTCCAAGCCAAAACTCTTAATTTAAAAACTTAAAGAAATAAAATGTAGTCAGATGTTTAGTTTTTTCACAAAAAAAGTATATTCTTATTTATCGTGTCGGTGGCACGTTATAATGCAGATTATTTTTTCCATCCTCCTCATTGACTTACAATTATATGGACGTCGGGTCCGCGCTAAAAAGTGTCCGCACTTGTAAGGCGCTAAAATCGTATACAGAGCGCGACACTCCGCTTTAGTCTTCATTTGTTCTACTGACAGCGCGATACTGCGATGACATTACAATTTAAATTTCGAATAGGTTGACTTGGGACATTTTTTTCGTGGTTTGTGTATTAGACCCGTCGCCCATTTATTTGTAAGTCAATGATCCTCCTATGATAATATACAGAAAAGGCACCTAGGCCATATGAGTTACTCGTGACAACCGTGAAAATAAAAAATATAATAGTGACACTGGTATAGTGTAAAATAATAGGAATAAAAAGTTTTTTATGTTTATGAGTTGTTAACATATCTGACAAATCGCAAAACTACCTTTTATTTGCTGAATTATTATGTATTCGTTGTATTTATTCTGTAGTATACTCTACGAATTATTAATTTATTATAGTGTGTTTTCATGTTTCAGCCTTCCTATTGACATTATGTTGATTGAAGTATATGCTAAACCGACTTTATTGCGGTGTTTTTACTTAGATAATTATGGATTTTCGTTCCGTTGAAAGAATACATAAAATCCAACACAAAAGTACTCTCCAAAAAGTCAATAAAGTCATCATCTTTGGCGCGTTTGTGCACTACTGTGCACTACGTCTGATTCGTATCAGGGGGTCTACTCTCGTTCTCCGTCTGACGTCCGTCCGAAAAAATAACTGTGAAATAAGTAATATTCGACCAAATTAAAAGACAAGGTCAAGTGTGAAACTTCACTCGCATCATGCGTCTTTTAATTTGGTCGAGTATTGTTTATTTGGCAGTAATTGTTTCGGACGGATTTCGGACGGAGATCGAAAGTAGACCCCCAGTTCCGAATCCGAGAAATGACGGTCTGAAATGTCACGTGGATCATTTTATCTCTAGGAGTCAAGCGATATTTGTATTTTCTCGGATTCGAATAGGACTTAGAGCACTAGCGACATCCGAAGTGGATCCGAGTTTTCTAGATTTATATACGTAAGCTAATAACTATAGAGACCCCTATATGACCATAAGTAGGAGAATTTTGTTATATTAGACTATATCTATACGGTTTATACTAAATTCGACAATTTGTGTAGTGCACTTACATCTAATTCAAAGTTCCTCTCGTCTACTTCGCCTGTAACTTAGCACTATTCTAACTTCTTGGAGTGTATAGTCAATGCAATTTGCGGGATTCCGTATGGGGAATGTTGTACACAAACTCCGATATTACATTACTCTATGCTTTGGCTTCATTGACTTACAAATAAATGGACGACCGGTCTAATACAAAAACCATGAAAAAATGTCCCAAGTCAACGTATTCGAAATTTAAATTGTAATGTCATCGCAGTATCGCGCTGTCAGTCGAACAAATGAAGACTAAAGCGGAGTTTGACGCTCTGTATACGATTTTAACGCCTTACAAGTTCGGACACTTTTTAGCGCGGACCCGACGTCCATATAATTGTAAGTCAATGTTTGGCTTGAATAAATTTGGCTTGAATCTAAAATGACAGCAATGGACAATTGGAAAAATAATTTAAGTCGAAAGAGTACCCGTTACAATTAAAAGTAGTACAATTTTTTGTCATAACATGGGTCTAAAAAGCCATACTGCCACATCTTTGATTTTAATTTTTGTTCAATTTTGTTTGAATTGACTTGCAACGTATCAATTGG